CATGCCCTCTCTATCACTGGGGGAGACGTCCAGGCTGCAATCAATCTAGTACTGAGTGGTGTAATTACTGGTGATGATGATGACCAGTGATTTCTTTCAGCTTCATTCTTTGATATCCCATTGTTTAAATAATTGGCACACCAGCAAACATAAACTAATCCTGGTCAATCAAAAGTTCCAATAGTTTGTTTGCTGTTAGGCTAATGAATGATTATTGTGATTCTCTTAAGTGTGAGGAAGAGGTATTTATTTAGTGTGTTTTTTCTTTTTTTAGTAAATTCTATGTAAATGTTTCTTATCTTGTTTATAGATATCAATGAAAAGTAGGATTAAATTAAAGTTATAGTCAGAGAAGAATTTTCCAGTCTATTTAATTTATCCAACTATGATTGTCCACAGTAGGAAAGATATTTAAAACTTGAAGGTGTTACATATTCGAAGCTTAAAAAAGCTATACTGACTCCATGATAGGCAATTATAAAGTACAACAACTCATCACAAATTGGAAAAAAAACATAACAGGCCCACACTTAAAAGGATAACATACAAGGAGTTAGATCCAGCAGGATCCATTTAACAAAGAGTTTGGCAAATAACAAATTACACTACATGAAATATAACAGTCAATCACATGTATACACATTAAAGTCAATAGTAATGAAAGGTGAACTGTTTAAGTTGGATAAAAGGAACATAATTTTTTAAATAGAGATTTACCATATTTACATAAGCTGCAACCCAATTCTGTGATAAGCATGGATGGACTGAACAACAGCCGGCAAGACTCCAGAAAAAAAATGGGCTGCAATAATAAGCAACAAAATTTGGCAAAGGTGAGTGGATAATACAGTTGTGCAAATATGGTAGTTTATTTCTACAAAATGGAAAGTCAGTACATGGTATTTTGCAAAAAAAAGTATTTCCCAAGTACTTTCTATAGTGACCACAAAGAATAAAAGAAAGGGGAAATCATTTCCAATGGCACATATAAGTCAACAAGAAATTTTCAGTCTATTAGATGGCATTTGCTGGCTTTTTACCAGCAAACTTACATAGTAAGAAAATTTGTTTTGTATTAAAATTCATGGCAGTCTCAAATTTAAAACTGTAACTGTGAAAGCACTGGAGGTCTTGAGTAGCGCCTCAGAAATATTTACAGCACACTTAACAGTCACCCATGGTATACTTTTGAATACATACTTATTATGCTGGGTGACATTCACAAAAATGGATACAAAATCAATAAGATCAGTCAATAGGCAAAAAACTTTCAAGGTATAAAACACATCTTTAAGTACAAGTGTGAAGGAAACTCCACAACAACAAAACAAAAAACACTTAAAAGCAAATATTTTAAGAGCTTATTACTAATAGGGAATAGCTAAAGGAGCACTTGCATGATCCTATAATATATCTTTGGCAATCACAAAAAAATAATTGAGCGTATACAGTCAAAAGGATGCAAGAATGAGGCAACATCTATAGAGTTGCTAAACGTTCCATTTGAGTTAGGTCTGGTCGTCTCATGACTAGAATTTTCTTGCGCTTCCGATGGCCATGGGTACCTGATGAACTGTAGCTCCTGTTAGATCTTGCACCATGAGACCTGTGATGTTGAGTTGTTTGAGTCTGTGAAGCTCTGGGAAGGGTGTATGTTGTCATTTGTCTCATTTCAACAGCCTGAACTTGACTGTATACAGGTAAGCTCTCCCCCCTCACTGGTGAAAATTTTCTGAGGAAACATGCTAAAAGCAGGAGCATCAAGGTTAGGTAGATGCTGCATGCTATAGCAAATAGTAGCATGTAGCGATCCAAGTTTTCCAGAGGAGTCATAGTCATAGAGCATGGTGTTCCATTCAAGAAAACATAAACATAACCCAAACGCCGTCCACACCCACTTGCAGGAGGCACAGTCCCACGACACTAGGAACGACAAAATAGGAACGTCGGTTTGCTCGAAAAAATTACACTGGTCGATACTACATATTGGCAAACTAAGAATATCAACAAACGCAACTAGGGATTCCAAGATCACGAATAAAATAAATGCAGCATTCCCCGGTTCTTCTGCACAGCTTTCTTTCGTCTCTGTGTATGTGTAAGTTTCGACAAATTTCTCATAAGCTGCAGCTGCATTGCATTAAGAATGGAATTTTGCAATTTGCAGGGGGCGCCGATCCGCTAACTTCAAAGTGCGGGAGTCGTTGTACCGTTTAAGAGGTGTCGGCCAGAGTGTCTTCAGGTAAAGAATGACATAGCAAGGGGAACCACTGTTTGAATCGAGTTGGATGCTAGACTGACTTCCCGTTCACTTTGTATCTTGAAATTTCCATGTAATAAAGAATTTTATTTTTATTTTTTTGTTTTTTAAAGATTGAGTAAAAGCAATCACAGTAAAAACGATAGGCGTCTTGTTGTGCACCAGCATCAGCTGAATTGGGCTTTCTATTCGTGTTCATTATGCTGTTCGTCGAATCTGTCCAGTCTAAGCTCGCCCAGCATCCCGTGGGGGCCGAGCTTAGGCCTGCTCGCCTGTGCTGGACTCCGTTAGGTCGGCGAACTCTCCGGCCCCTCCCTCCTCTTTCCGCCTCTTCCGACCCAAACTGCCTCGGCTCACGTGCGGAATCGATATAGCAAACATTGAGGCGACAAACCGGCTTCAGTCGGTCAGTTGTTGAACCGAGGCGATATCAGCCCCTCTACGTGTGAGTGAGTGAGTGTGAGGTGTGTGTGTGGCGAGAAAGAGAGCGCGCAGATAGGTGCCCACTTAAACCCCCAGCCGGGAGGGCGGCATGTCAGGTCAGCTGGACGCTTTTACCCCTTCCCCTCCATATAATAAAGGATTGGCAACGTTACAGCACGGCCCCGATGCGGGCTTCTCCCGCCCGCCCCACCACGGCCC